TTCATTTTACATAACCCATGTACGATGTCGGTAATTTCCTGTAATTACACTGCTCATAATCCATGGATAACTGTATGGTAATTGTACATTTGAACATACACACATACAGATACCCCCAAACCGCTATGGCGATTTTTAAAATGAGAAAGTTTCATACCTTGGTGTGGACCTGTTTGGAATATAACTTCTTTCGTTTATCGTTTATAGCCTACTCTTGAAAATATCCTTCTAACGTGACAACTATTACCTAAGCTACAATATTTAGTTCGCAACGAGTTAGAGCCCCATCATCAAGAAATAATAAGCTTCCTACCTACATGAGAGTTTGATTAATATTGTTGCGGGAAGAACTCAGAGTTATTAATTAACAAGCCATTTCCAACACTGTTTATGTATATCAACAATCCCATAAGATGCGCATACTATATAATACCCCTTGTGACTTTGATTTGAAGATAATTAGCTCAACAGATGACCTCGGTCCTGTAGTGCCTACCTCCTCATAACCCGATTTACGCGAGTCCCGAACAGCAGTCAATGTTTTCTCAGTAGTGACATTTAATTAACTATCTCCGTCTTCCCTTCTGAACAGTCTGGTAATTATAGGCAGTTGCGAAATCTATATCTTTTGAATTCATGGGAAGATCGTAAATGATTGGCCAGTAGTATAATTTAGTAACTTTCTCTTCAAGATATCGGACCGATCATCGTGATCGTTCTTGTTGTATTTTACCCGAAACCTGTATCAATACGTCTGTTCCATATTATTAAAGCTGAGAGTGATGACTTCCTTTATAAAGCCTCAAGCAAATGCATAATAATAATCTCAGGACAGCCGTTACCGGAGGTTGTATCTCTCTTGAAGTGGATGCCCCTAGATGAACACGTATTTTCTTGTTCCTACCATCAATGTTCAATCCGCTCGGTTGTTATGATGTAATGGAAGTGAGTTACATCCATTTGAATTCCCTCTTTCTATGCTCTTACTCTTTCCAACTCGCTCTGAGCTGGATTTAAAAGGCCAGCCAGTTTAGCTAATTGTATAAGTTAACTTCTTGGCCAGCACTCTGGTAACCAATACGCCATATGAAAATATCACCTCCGTCTTCTTACAGCTAATATAAATTTCTTTATTGGCTTTACCCAGCTTGGAACAGAGAAATGGAAAATATCTGCTGTCCACAATTCGCTCGGTATAGCAGTATATTTTCCGAGCCATTCAACTCCCAGTATAAGCTGCTGCTATGATCGAGATAATTTGATCCAGTACATAACGCAGCGATCAGCAGATCAGCATCGTCTCTGGTATTCCAACACGCATTTCAAGGAGATAGACCCTTCCCTGTCCCCAGCTATGTGGATCCTTCGAGAACTACATTTGTTGTTACTGAACATGTCATATATTCTATGTTGCTCACTTCATCGATGATAACCACTGTAAAAATTACTGGACCCAAACAACGTTAATTACATATCAAATTGCGAACGTGCATACAAAATATGCAAAATGTCTGTACTGCATATACATATATAAGCTCAGAATACCGTTAGCGACTTTTTCGTCCATATTGGGATTGTAAATCTACGATAAATGGCGAATGATTCGATGAGTCGATCACATCTTTATGAAGGTAATAGGATCACTTCTGAGAACACAATAGACAGCCTTTGGTAGGAGGTGTTTCAGATTCTCTTACAATTATGTAGGCGGACTAAAAATGCCACTCCACGGCTCATACATATGTCGGCAAATAAGGTGATTTTGGCCTATTCCTAACAAATTACATACAAATGAAGCTTGGTTGGAATGAGGAGAACCAAATCACACAATTCCATGACTAAATTCAACCAAGGAATAAAACTCAACATTATACCTCTAGCATATGAATCATGCCAAGGGCCTAATTACAACTATAGGCGCTATACTGGCACTGAACACATGGTACTGCATAGAAGTGTCAGTAACACTTCTAATTATAGACCCTCACGATCTGATATATTCAGCTTCGGGAGGGTGATTCATCAGTATTCTTGGTCTATTGCTCATCTTTGTCCGCTACAGTTTAAAAGAATAGCTGATCATGAGCTGCAGTCACATATCCTTCGCTAGATGAAACTCATCAACACATCGTAGTGAACATCGTAGCGAGCATATACTTAACAAGGAGAGGTCACATCGGAAGACATGTGGGAACATGTAGAATCCACCAAACATGAATGGGTAATTAAACACAATTGAATTGATTGCCAATCGATCCTTTTTCTTGGTTCAACGTACAGCTTGGCATGCTCTCAATGGAGAGTGCTGACACAACTGTCAAATAGGCCATCCGTGGAGCTACTGGTGAACGATACAGTTATCCCACTATACATCGATAGATCAACTCTATACATAGAAAGAGAACAAACAATTTGGAGCCCATGTATAATCATCCACTTGCATGGCCTGGCCAGGTATTGGTCGTGTCTAATGACCTTGAATATACTCATCAACGCACTCCCTGAGCCACCACCATGGGTTTGATCACTAGTGGTCCGTATACACCATTAAAGACGGCCCGTCTACTTTTCGCCGAACATCACGTCTGAAACAGTCATTATAGGCTTCTGAACACTTCCATCTACTCAGCATTCCGTGTGTTCTAACTAAAGCAAAGGAGAAAAGTGGAACGTTATTTTAGCCTGTGGTGAGAAAGAAAAATAACCCACTCAAAGCTCTGCATATCCCACGCAGCGCCCAGCGTGGCCCAACCGGGATTGCTCACTTGCATGCATAAATTTTAAGTTTGATAAGATGGACAGGGGAAATTACATATGTATGTACCTGATCAAGAAATTGCTTGAGTGACTCGCCTGGACAGCGTATAAATTTCGTGTTGAGACAAGACAACGACAAGAGTATTGTCAGATGAAAATTGTTCCCGATCTTCCTTGGGATTCACATATTGTTTATCCTTGACCTGAGGCAGTACTTGGAACCAGCATAATCGGCCCAAGATCTGGGCACATCTTGGAGCAGCTGGCGTGTGGGAATGACACGTAGACAACCTGTTGATGTCTTTCAGCTCTACCCAGCGAAACAGTGGCGGAACAATATCGTCCCACGTTGCGACATACACACCACTCAGTGGATACAGGCACCACACAGTGATACCCAGGAATACCCACACACAGACACTCTGGTTGACCAAATCGAGCTGAACGTAGGACGACGCACAGCCATATGCAGCATAATGCAGTTGTGAGCTCCCTACAGCGCATGTGCGTGCGTGTGCATTCGTGTTAATACCTAACATACATATGGCAGGCAGGACTGCATAGTCCTGAACTGCACAGAGGGGTGGGCGCTGAGCTCTGACTGAGAAGGCAAAAGTTGCAACGGGCCCCCAACGCTCACGCTGCAAGAAGGTATTTTTTCAGTGATTGGACATTACGTCAAGCGTACAAGACCCACAGCAGTCAGAGCATGTGCTTTACAGAGAGCAATACGGCGCCGTCCGAATTTATTATCAACGGTGGAGAGAAGTGGGCTCCAAAAGAGAAATACCTCCAGCTGCAGAACGGAAAATAGAGAAAAAGAAACAAACTGTGGGCCTTGCTATCTCTTCATACATAAACAGGCCCCCAGTCCCATTTTCCATTCGGCTGTCTCTGTGTAGCCCGGAATATTTCCCTCTGTAAGCTCAGCACCTGTCGTCTAAGCAGTCAATTGCCCGTGCTGTAACCGTCCTCTCATCCAGACATCGTCCTGTGTGTGTTTCCATTGAGGCCCACATTCCTGTCACTCCACCACGTTTCCACCAGTTTGGTGTTGCAGAACTGAGCATTTGTTGTACAGTTCTCCAATCACGTTGACACTCGCATCAGCAAACGGGGAATATCCACACATAAAGGAACTACAACCCCCCATTGAAGACCATCTCTTGCTTGTTTTGTTATCTTCTGAGTCAGCAAGCCACAACACAGCACCGTTTCACGAAAGATACCACCCACAGACTGCTGGCATTCCGGAATTGACTGAGTCAACACACGCTGCTTTACAGAGAGGAACGGCTTTCACCACACAGCTCATACAGTCCGACGTACGTCCTCCTTTTTGAACGCATTTGCCTTGTTGGGTAGAGGTGCTTTTTTATTCCACGCAATTCCTCTCGCTCAATAAATTCGAGAGCTTCCCTCCCTCCTACAATACACACATTGAGGTCCATCCACTGTGTCTGCGTGTTCCTTCATACCTGAGTGAAAAGCTCTCGTCCACGGTGCTCTTGCGAATCGACAAGTAGTGCCTCGTGTATAAGAATCGCACCACCTGCATCAATTGTGTCCTGAGGCGTGTTATCTATCAACTCTATTGGAAAGCGACTCTTGACGAGATAGTCCATATTCAAGTGTGTTTCTCCTCCATCGCGGACAATATTACCACCATGCTGTCACCACGTTCTCAAGCTGATCAGACGGTGATTCAGCAGCATCACCAAGTGCATCAGCAGTATCACCAGGTGCCACAACAGTTTTTCATTCAGAATCAACATTCATCTCAAGACGCACAGCATATACCTCAGGTGCAAGGCCAGGCGCAGATGACTCTACCACATATTCCAACACCAGGCTTCCAGCCCGTCCAGTACCCACTGTCTGGTCAGCCTCTACAACAGGCACATGGCGAAATACAGCCACAACAACCGTACAACAACTACACCACCCAGAACGTTGCGCAGCATAGTAACGGCCCGTACTCTGTTCCGATTAGTGGTGCGGTCTTCTTTGATGGGAATAATCAACGACAATTGCCGGCAAACTGTTACTATCCACCGCCTGCTATTCCAGCCCATGTGGCTCAGCAGCAGTCATTGGGACTTGGCAACAGTGAGCCCCAGAATACAAGCACCATTGGCCAGCAGCAGCAGCAGCAACAACAATCACAGTCACAGTCACATGCTCCACAGCTACAACCTTTACAACCTCTTCAGGCTCAGCGAAGTCCACAGCTGCTAGCACAAGCACAATCATCACAGCAGACGTTACAGCCCTCATTGCAGCATCCCTTCGATAACAGTGCTTTCCACTCGCATCCTGATTCTCTGTCATTTGCAGCTTCAACGTCACTTGCTAATTCCTTCTCGGGACCATCAGGTGTACAACTTCATGCTGGCCATGAAGACCAACCTTTCCCTGGCTCTCTGGAGATTCGCTCAGCACCATCAACAGGGAATATCAATCACCTTCGCTCAAAGACTTATCCAACAGAGACGTTGCCAAAGCCGAAAGCTTTGGGCAACCACAGCTCATCCAGCTCACTATTGGGGATGACACCGGCAACTGCGCTGCGCAATAGGTGTAACATTTGTCAGAAGCAGTTCAAAAGACCATCTTCTTTACAGACTCATCTGTACTCTCATACCGGGGAGAAGCCATTTGCGTGTGATTGGAAAGGTTGTGGTAGGTTATTCAGTGTCAGAAGCAATATGATTAGACATCGCAAGCTACATGAACGAGATGCTGATTTGAAGAAACAGATTGAAAAGAAGGATGTTTCATTCAACGGTTCTGTTGCAGGACACCCAACATTACTGCAGAACAGTACTAGTTTATCGACTTCTAATCCTAGTGTGTCTTATATTAACGGCTGGTGATGTTGGTGATGCTGGTTCTTGGTGTTTCGCAGGGCCCTTTCCTGAAGCCCAACATGTTTTCTATTTCTATTATTATGCTCTCACAGATGTTGAGATGGAATGTTTGATCTCTCAGAGTGCTCTTTCACGGTTTTTACGGTTATAAATTGGTGTTTCCTGTTATTCTCTTTCTTTCTTTCGTCGTGGATATATGTACTTGTAATTCTCCTAACTTATACTAGGACTATGTATTCCAATCATGTGTACGTTCTTTAAATAGTTCGATATAATGTTCATACGCACTTTGAAACTGTATGTGACCCACCGTGGCTGATCATTCAATCTCGAAATCATCATCATCTGCTCGTTTGTTTCCAGAATTCGTTCCTGGGAACTCCTCCAGTCCTTCATCTTCCGGAGATCTGGTCGTTTGCATCTCCAAGTCTTCAACGTCAAGGGAATCCTGAACACTGTAATAGCGTGTGTTTGCACCACGACGTGTGAATAGGCCACCAAAGAATCGTCTTGCCCTTTCAAGAGCACTTTGTCTCTTGGCCCTTCCCATCATCAGGTAGGCTATGATGAACAGAATCAACAAGATTAAAAGAGACCCCCACCACCTATGCTCCACTAGGACATCATCCCAGTCATTCTCATCATGATCGTCATCATCCGTGTAATCATCGTTGAAACGCAAGTCAGATAGGCCAGCAATGTACTCTGCTCTAGAGGGAATACCAAGTTTCTCACCTCCATGTACAAACACCTTTGAAGATGGTTCATAGTATCCGATTGCAGCTCTTGAGTTGTTTGTAAAGGCATAGCCGTCAGCAGCCTCCTGGAACGAATATAACACTGCACGTCCAAGTGTCCAGGAGAAGTTATCCAGAATGGCGAAATCGTCAGGCTTCAAGTTAACTGATTCTTCAGGCATCGGCTCATCGATGCCATATCTTGGGAACCCAACACCCTGGTGAAGCACGTTGATGATCCAGGAAGACTTGAAACATATTTCGGATGTCTGTCTAATCTCATCGTC